ACATGGCAGGCCCAGGGATCGAAACCCTGGCCCCTGCACCTGCTTGCAGGTGCTTTAATGATCTTGTTTTTTAAATTGTCTTAAAAATTTATTTATTTATTTGTGTGTGTGTGTGTGTGTGTGTGTGTGTGTGTGGCCAGCTCAGCCCACCAGGGGCGGGGCTGGCTGGCATGTGGTGCTGGGGGATCGAACTGCGGTCCCTGTGCTTTGCTAAGCTTTTTCTAAGTAGGTGCTTTAGACCACTGAGCCATCTCACCAGCCCCAATCTTGTTTTTTTTTTAAAAGAACAAAAAGGGAAAGCTTGAGGCCTACTCATCTAAAAACTGTCTCAGTTGATAGAAGAAAGTACAGCTTAGAGAGGCTAGGTATTAGAAAATAACATGCCTGTGGGTGGAATCTGCTCTCCAAAGATGCTGGAGTTGTGGTAGGGGTAGCGTATTTATGCCTGATGTCAGACCTGATGCATAGAAAGCCCACAGGGTGGCAGGAGCACCCACAGGACATATGGGCAACAAGAGCGTGGGGTAAGTGGGCACCTGAGGGTTTGCGCCAGGTGTGAAGGCTCCTTCACCTTGTTCAGCATTCCTAGAAGTCTTCCTAAAAGCAAGAGGGGCTTTAGGAATTATTTGATTCTTCTACACATAAAATTTCTGACTTATTGATAAATGGGGGTCTCACCACATTGCCCAGGCTGGCTGTGTTTATGGGTTACCTGTAAGTTGTTTTTTGTTTTGTTTTTTTTTTTTTTTTTTGGTGGCCAGCTCAGCCTGCTCTGGAGGCAGGGCTGGTGCAGCATGTGGTACCAGGGATCAAACCGTGGTTGCTGCGCTTGCCTAAGCAGGTGCTTTAGACCACTGAGCTATTTCCATGGTTCCAAGTTGCCTGTAAGTTTGAAGGCTGTGCTGTGTGGTTAAGAGTCAGGCAGGCCTTCCCAAACTGGGCAGTTGCTGAAATGTGTTTTCTTACCACCTGGGAAGGCCATAGAACCCAAATAGAGAATTGTCACGCTAGCCCATAGGCTAAGGTGACAACTGAGTTAGGCTCAAGGACTAAGGTGGGCCATCAGGCCTTTTGGTGTTTCTAGACATAGGTAAAGGTGAAAACAAAAGCAAATAGCTTCATTTTTCCCCCTAGCTAAAATATGAAGAAAATGACCTACAGTGTAAGTCACTGAGGGTTGTAACCAGTGGTATGGGTGAGGGGACAAGGACAAGGTCCTCTCTGTGCAGGAGATGCATCATGGAGGAATGTGGGCCAACACTGGATAGACAGAGGCAGAGGACTGGGACTGGGTATCTGACGCAAGAGTTTCTGATTTGGAGCAGTTGCCAGAGTGTTCAGTGAGTGGGTGCAGATTTGGATGGAGGTCACTAAAGGCCAGGACAGGTGCTGGTGAGGAGTCTGCTCAAGTCCTTGGAGAATGAGGGCTGGAGGATATCTTGTGACAGTGTAAGGCGGAGAGGATCTGGAGGCAGGAGGAAATATCTCTGTGTTGTCTTCTGACACAGGGTCTGTCTTAGTCTCTTTACAAATGAGGGGACAAAATACAAAACACCCAACATTTGCAATTTAGGGAAGAGGGGTTTATTTTGATTCAGTTTTAGTTCTCAGTCTGCTGGTTCCAAGGCAACAACAGCATGGGAGAAGGGGACACTGGAAAAGGGGCTCAACCCTGGTAGCCAGGAAGCAGAGAGAGAGGGAGGAGCCAGAGGCAAAACACCCCTCCAAGCCACACCCCCAGCGACCCCCTCTCCAAGCAGGCTCCACCTCCTCCAGCACATTCAGCCATGAACTCAGCAAGGGATGAACCCACTGAAGAGTACAGAGCACCCACAAGCCAGTCATCTTCCACACACACAAACATTTTAGGGGATATTTCAGCTCCAAATCACAACAGGGTCACTTTTCCCTGGCTTGCCTGGTTGAGTCTGTTCACCATAAATTATTTATGTTGATTATGTTCAACATAAATCCTGTCATCAAGGACAAATCTCTTTTATCCATATTTATAACTAAGGAGCCAAACAGTTAACAGTAAACAAAACCACACACAAAACCAAAACACAGATGTTTGATGCAGTAACACAATTAGTGTAACTTTGTACGTCTGTGTAACTTCGATGTTACCTCATACAACCCTGCAACCAGGATCATTCATGATTTCTGATGTTTTGGGAAAACACCCCTTTGACACTGCTGATGCCTCTGATCTTTGAAGACCCCTCAGCAAGAGCTGGAAAGTTGCAAAGACTCCTGCCCCCATCTTGGCAGTACAGTCTCTGTACTGGTGCCACCTCTCACACCGGAATAAAGCAACCTCTAGAATTCGTTCCCTTAAAGTGGCTTGAGCCTGCTCTATGGCAGTGAGGTCGAGTAAATCATTTTATTTTTAAAGACTGTCTTGTGTCACTCATATTAGGTCACAGGAAGTAGTGAGATGAGAGGTGCTGTCAAGCCCCTGCTGTAAGGCCACATGTACAGAACCTGAGAAGGGACTTAACTATCTTCAGGCTCTTCTTTACTTTGCTTCCCACACATCTGAAGCCAAGGCTCTGGAGACCCATTTCTTGGTGCTCTCTACAGGATCACTTTATGTGGCTCGGTAGGTTGTGTGCTGCCCGGGAGCACTGCCTCTAAGGTGGCACAAGCTTCACTGAGTATTCGTGGATTATGACACTATTCCAAATTGGCAGTAGAGTGCCCTAAGCTAGCACAGCTCTGGCCTTTTCTTAAAAACAGGGTTTGTGCTGTCCTGGCTGGCCTGAAAGGATCCTCCTCCCTTAGCCTTGTGGGTGCTGAGACTACAGGTTCTCACCATTGTCTCTCACTGGCCCTGGCTTTCTGAATTTGCGCCTGCACCATTGAAAGTGTGATCTGGGATGCTTTGCTCCCGCCAGCCTGCCTGTTCAACTTCTTCCCTCAACCCCTTCAAGATCCAGTAAAAACTCCAGGAAGGTGTGACAAACTGCCTTGAGCTTCACGCCCATGCTCCTATTTTCTCACTTTCCAGGGCATACTGCCTACCTTTCTCCTCCAGCTGGCTGAACCACACTGTTCACCTGTCAGTCTAACTCCAGGCATAGCAAAACACTTAGATTTACACAATTAAAAATCTGCTGAAGGAGTCATGTAGCTCAGTGCTTGCTTAGCATATTTGAGGTCCTGGGTAGGACCTTCAGCACTGAAAAAAAAAAAAATGACTGGAGAAAGAATGAGGATATGATTCTGTTAATAACTTACCAAAAGCTTAGCTCTGAGAAATATGGACCCAGGGGGCCTGCCCATTAGCTCAGTTGTTTAAGTGCCTGCTTAAGCAAAGTAGTCAGGCTCAGGATACTGTGGCTCCCATCCCCAGATCCTCATGCCTTACCTGACCTGCCCTTAAGGCATCCTGAGCTAGCCAAAAACAAACAAACAAACCAAAACAAAAATCCTTCTGAATTTTAGGGGCTGGGGAGATAGCTCAGTTGAATAAGCGCTAGCCTGGCAAGTGCAAGGACCTGAGTTCAATCTCCGGCTCTGCAAGAAAAAAAAAAAAGGCCCATTAAGTCCTCAAAATGCTACCCTAGCATCAGCCTGACCCATGGGAGCCATGTACCTGGGCTGTGTGATTCTTTACAGCCTCTGCTTTGACTGGTGCTGGAGGGCAGCATAGGAAACAGCCTCAGAACATGTTTATAGTACATAGGTCCGAAAGATCATTTGTTTATTTCATCTCACAGAAAGGTGCTTTTGGGCTGGTGAGATGGCTGGGTGGTCTAAAGCACCTACTTAGAACAAGCTTAAGAAAGCACAGGGACCGCGGTTCAATCCCCCAGCACCACATGCCAGCCAGCCCCGCCCCCTGGTGGGCTGAGCTGGCCACACACACGCACACACAAATAAATTAAAAAAAAAAGAAAGGTGCTTTTTATTTTGCAAGGTGAGTCTGATCACAGCTTATTTCCTCAGTGGCTGAGAAGTGCAGAGACAAACTGGAGATCTACTTTCTAGGAAGTGTATGGCTGTGTACTCCTCCAGCATATGTCCTACCTAATTTCTGGTTCAAATACTTTTGTGGTGTAGTGACACCCTGGGGATGAGGCACATGGCAGCACCTGCCCAGGGCACAGCCTTTATGTGCATGAGGTGAGGCCTAGAACTCAGGTGCTCTGATTTCCTTGGGTAGCAGCCAAAAGAAATTGAGTGGCAAGACAGTAAATGCCCTTGGGTCAGCAACTGTGGTTTCCCATGGGCACCTCTGACCTCAGGCCCAAAGAAGGCCTTGGAATCTCAGGGAAAGCTGAGGGGAACAGAGCATTTAAACATTTTGAACTAGTGGGCCACTAGGCTAGGAGCCCTGGACAGGCCTCATTCAACCTTGCAGCAGCCCATAGTGGGTAAGCAGTGAACACCTGTTGCCAAATGAGCCTTGCCTGAGTTTGACTCTTCCTACTGCCTGACCCATTCGGGGTGAAAGTAAGGAACATGTGTGCTACAGAAGGCAGGCTGGAATGGCCAGGACAAAATAATCTCTGTTTGCAAGGTGAAAGGCCAACCACATTGTTTCTTTTTTCTGAGAAAAATATTCTCAGGGGCCTGTGAGACAGTTCAGTGGACTAAGTACCTGCTTAGGCAAGCACAGGGACCAGAGTTTGATCAGCATGCCACATTGACCCCACACAGTGCACTGAGATGACCACTGAGAACTGGCTTAGTGGTGCATGCCTGTAATCCCAGCACCCCATAGGAAGGCTGAAAACAGGAGGAGCACTGTGAGTCCCAGCCCTGTAGTGAGACCCTGTACCAAATGCATTAAAAAAAAGAAAAAAGAGAAAAAGAAAATATTCTCAGATAACTTCAGTCTTGGTCAGATTAAGTATTTGGTAGTGGGAGGGAAGGCACCTAGGAGAATGGGAGGGTAGGTGGTGGGAGACCAGCCCATCCAGGCAGCAATCAAGAGAGCAGTTGGTGGGTCCTCCAAGGACCTCACCAGGCACTCCTTTCCCTCCTGTCTGCAGCTCTGTCAAAGATGCACTGGACACCAGAACATGCCCAGCCACTCAACCAGTGGCCAGAGCAGCACCTGGACGTTTCCTCCACTACCCCATCACCAGCCCACAAGTTGGAGCTGCCCCCAGGGAGTCGCCAGCGCTGCCACTATGCTTGGGCACACGACGACATCTCAGCCCTCACTGCCTCCAACCTCCTCAAGCGCTATGCAGAGAAGTATTCTGGGGTCCTGGACTCACCCTACGAGCGCCCAGCCTTGGGCGGCTACGGTGACACCTCCTTCTTCAATGGCACCAAGGGGGACACGGAGCCCTGGCCAGGGCCGGAGCCACCCTACCCCTTGGCCTCACTCCACGAGGGTCTCCCAGGAACGAAGTCGGGCGGCGGGGGCGGCTCCGCGGGCCTAGGGGGCTCCCCGGTTTTAGCCGGGAACCTGCCTGAGCCCTTGTACGCCGGCAACGCGTGCGGAGGCCCGTCGGCTGCGCCCGACTACGCAGCGGGCTACGGTGGGGGCTACCTGGCGCCGGGGTACTGCGCGCAGACTGGAGCCGCGCTGCCTCCGCCGCCCCCGGCCGCGCTCCTGCAGCCTGCGCCCCCGCCGGGGTACGGCCCCTCGGCGCCGCTGTACAACTACCCAGCTGGCGGCTACGCGGCGCAGCCGGGCTACGGAGCGCTCCCGCCGCCGGCCGCGCCCCCGGCCCCCTACTTGCCCTCGGGTCTGCCCGCGCCCACGCCCCTACCCGCGCCGCCCCGGCCAGCGCCCACCTCCTACGGCTTCCAGGCGGCCACCGCGGGAGCGGAAGCCGGCGTGTCGCTGAAGCGCAAGGCGGCGGACGAGGGCGCGGAGGGCCGCTACCGCAAGTACGTCTACGAGCCCTCCAAGGCCCCCGCGGCCGACGGTGCCTCCTACCCCGCCGCGGATAACGGCGAGTGTCGCGGCAACGGGTTCCGGGCCAAGCTGCCGGGGGCCGCGGAGGAGGCGTCGAGCAAGTACGGCGGCGGCGTTCCCCTCAAGGTCTTGGGCTCCCCTGTCTACGGCTCGCAGCTCGAGCCCTTCGAAAAGCTCCCGGAGCGGGCTCCAGCCTCGGCGCCCCGTGGGAGCTTCGCCGTGCTCTCGGGGGAGCCTCCCAAAGGTGCTGACGCCGGGGCGCTGGAGCTGGTGACCAGCAAGATGGTGGACTGCGGGCCGCCGGTGCAGTGGGCAGACGTGGCAGGCCAGGGTGCGCTCAAGGCGGCGCTGGAGGAGGAGCTGGTGTGGCCCCTGCTCAGGCCGCCGGCCTACCCCGGCAGCCCGCGCCCGCCGCGGACAGTGCTCCTCTTCGGGCCGCGGGGCGCAGGCAAAGCGCTGCTCGGCCGCTGCCTGGCCACACAGCTGGGCGCCACGCTGCTGCGCCTGCGCGGTGCAAGCCTGGCCGCGCAGGGCGCCGCCGAAGGTGCCCGCCTCCTCCAGGCCGCCTTTGCGGCCGCGCGCAGCCGCCCGCCGGCCGTGGTCCTTATCTGCGAGCTGGACGCGCTGCTGCCCGCCCGGGACGACGGCGCCTGCGCACCGGGAGCCCTGCAGTCCCAGCTCCTGGCCTGCCTGGACAGCGGCTGTGGCGCGCGGGCCGACGGCGTGCTGGTGGTGGGAACCACCTCGCGGCCTGCGGCCCTGGATGAGGTGACCCGCCGGCGCTTTGCCCTCCGCTTCTACGTGGCGCTGCCAGACAGTCCGGCCCGCGGGCAGATCCTGCAGCGGGCGCTGGCCCAGCAGGGCTGTGCGCTGAGCGAGCGGGAGCTCTCGGCCCTCGTGCAGGGCACCCAGGGCTTCTCCGGGGGCGAGCTGGGGCAGCTGTGCCAGCAGGCGGCGGCCGGGGCGGGCCTCCCAGGGCTGCAACGCCCCCTCTCGTACAAAGACTTGGAGGTGGCGCTAGCCAAGGTGGGCCCTAGGGTCTCCCCCAAGGAGCTGGACTCGTTCGTGGAGTGGGACAAAATGTACGGCTCCGGACACTGATGGGGCGGGGGAGGCCGTAGGAGCTGCCTCTGCTTAGGGCAAATGTCTTGACCAAACCGGGCCGGGAGGGGTCCCGAGTGGCGCATGTCGGGTGGGGGACGGGACTACTCTGCTGGTGGATGTTTTTCATGGGAAGGAAAATGCTTCTGCTAGGCAGATTGATGCCATGCGCCGTGTACTCAGGTTTTTCCTATTTATTGTAGACAGGAAGCTCGCCATCTCCGCCCGGCGGAAGGGGCAGACCCTGCGTGGGCTAATACCCGGGCCTAAGGCGCTCCTGCTCTCCTTTTGTCTCCTCACCCTCTCAATGGCACCTACACCTCCCCCACTCCCACCTCTCTGCATTTGCTTGGTCTTTCCAGTTGCTTTGTCATTGACCTCCCCCACCACGCTGTCCTCCTTTTCTGCTCCTCCTTCCTGTTCCCACCTCTCCATGTATCACACTCTGTGCTTCTTTCTGTCCGGTGTGTTTAGGCATCCCTGTGCCTCTTGGTCCCTGTGCTTTAATGCCCCTCCCTACCTTCTGTCCCTCATTCATGTTGCAGTGTCCTTTTGCAGGAGATCTGGAGGCTCAGGGCTGAGGAGGAAGGGAGTGGGGAACCCCTTTCCCACTTCCTTATCCCTTACCCAGCTGAAAATTTGGGTCTGGGGAAAGAGAACAAGCCAAAACAAACCAAAAACAAAAAAACAAAACAAAAAACCCCAAAGAGTTTTGGGGCCTTGTTTTTGAGGGGAAGTCCCAGAGATGTAGCTTAATATTTAGGCCTTTTATTTTTGTAAGATGTGTAGAATTTGCTGTTTTTATTTTTCTTTTGACAACTCAGGAAGAAACTGACCTCAGAAAGAATGTTGGACTTCAGCTGCTCTCCTTTGTGTCCCCATCCCCTACCCGGGGGAGCAAATTCTCCCAGAAGAGTCAGACTTGTGGGGAGGGCAGAGGAAGACCCAGCTCCTCACTCAGTCCTGGGGTGTTTCTGGGACAGAAGCAGAATGTATTTCTACGGGCTTCCTTCTCCCCAGGTACCAGCTTGAAGGCAGGGGTGCTCTGGAGGGGGTGTGGGATTTGAAGCAGGCAGATCTTGCTACCTTCCTGCTGTTCTTCCCTGTGCACCCCAGGCTTCAGTTTCAGCTTTTCTGTGAAAGGTTTTTCAGAGTTGGGGTTTTCTTGCTCATTTCCTGTTCTAGCAAAAGTGCCCAATAGGAAGGAGACACAGGCACAAAGTCCCCAGGGAGGTCATTCCATCTGTCCCCTGCCTTGCAGAGGTCCCCAGTTTAGGCTGAGAGCATCATTGTTTTAGGAGGGAAGAAGGTCTGGCCTCCAGCATGAGTCAACACAGAATTGACTCCTACCCTCCAGCTGCCCTCTGTGCTGGGGCCTCTGAGGAGGGGTGAGTGTCACTCATTGGGACTGACTGGCTGGGGACACCTGTCCTGTGGTGGGTAGGGCAGGGTGTTTTTCCCTCACATGGCATTGGGGTTAGTGTATGTAGGGGAGTTCCAGCCAGCTTGAAGCCCTGCTCTTTGGGAAACATATTCCATATTCCTCTCCTTCCCACTAGTTTTCCTTGATGGGGCTTCACCCTTTCACAAATCTCACAACTCTTAAGTTCTGGTCCAAAGGGGGAAATGCCGTCCCATCTCTGTTTCTGTCCCCTCCTAACTTCCCTGCCTGCCCCTATAGCTCCTACAGTCTTAGCACTGCTCTTCTGATGGGTGTGTGTGGAGAGGTTTCCACAGGGCATTTCAGGCGCCAGGATGCAGAGGGCTAGTGCTGGCCTAAGTGCTAAACAAGAAAGCTGCTGTATCTCCCCCTCTTCACCCTTAGCCTCCTTGGCTGACAGATTGTAGGGCTTGGTGCCTCAAAGCAGTAGCCCCAGGATTTGCCCAAAATCCCCCAGAGGGGCAGGCAGTGAAGGGGTTCTCTCTCAGGTGTGTGGGTGGGTGGGGTGGAGGGTGGCAGGGAACAGGGGTTGGGATCCCAGCTTGTCCTTCAAAGGCAGGCAGCCCTGGGTGTGGGCAGGAACTCTTAGGGCCCCCACTGCTTTCCTCCTGTTCCTCAGGCTTGGGAAGGTTTGCACAAGAAGATAGCCTCCAGTCTACTGTCACCTACCTCAGGGGCACAGGGTGGGAAGGGGAGGGCGGGTCCAGCACTGGTGTCGCTGTGGGGGGCATACCAAAGAATCCAGGGGCATGGTGTTGGGGAGGGCAAGCTGGCTGTCTGCTTCCTCTACCCAGATTGGGGTTGGGCTCCTCTCCTCCAGCTGTAACCATTTCTACCTCATTTTGCTGTGTGTTGTACATGGATGTATTTATCTCCTGTCTGACGATGCTCTGCAGTTGTGGTCTGTCTACCTCAGAAGAGACTGTATTTTAAAAGAAAGTATTACACAGTATTAAAGTGATAACATGTGGTTTCCAGAGGATTTCTTGGGGCAGTGGGATGTGGGGAACCATCTAGTTGGGCACTCAAGCCTCTGCCAGAGCCCTGGATATGGCACAGTGGATGTTTCTATTCCTTCAGCAAAGTGTGATCCTGGGACTCATTTGCACAGTGAGTACTCCCAGATGCTGGATACAGAGGCTACAGGATTGAAAGCCCCTGTGTTGTGGGCTCCTCTGGCTTCCCGGAGGCTCAGGGCTGGGGCTGCCTCATTGTAGCATGAGCCCCACAACTCAGGGGCATTGAAGGGTTCACATGCTGTAAGTGAACAAACAAATGAACTCATGGAGGGAAGGGAGGGCTAGAGGAGAGTCACTCAAGCTGGACAGCAGTCCTGCTAGAATAAAGGTAGGGATGCAACCCTAGGTTTTCTGGGGAGGGAAAGTGAGCAGAAGGCAGGGTATGGAGACAACTCAGTTCCAGTATTTCAGGTCACATGAGACTGTCCACCTTCCCTTATCACTGTCCTTATGACTTTAAATAATATTGTAAACTGGGGAACATAAGAAAAACCCAGTAACTAGAAATGCTTGCTGGAAAAACTCCAAGCTTTTGAGTGGCTTGGGCCCACACTTTCCTGAGGCTGTCCAATGCTCTAAACAAAACTGCAAAACTGCACAAAAGCTCCAGGGAAGCAGTGTGCCCAGGCTTCCTGCCTAGGGCCCCCAACCCTCCTGGTCTATGTAGGTGCACATCTCTTCCCCAAGCTTACCTGGTACCTACTATGTGTGGACATTGTGGGTGACACTGAGAACAAGGAAATGGCCAGACACAGCCACTGTTCTTGAGAGCCGCAAACCAAATGGGAAAAGCTTAAAGACAGATTATTTTAGAAGACAACCTGATAAGGGTGCTAGGGTCAGGGAAAACCATATCAATCTTAATATTCACTAATCTGATAAAATTATCTGGTACATAGAGGACACTAAAAAGTGTTGAATAAACCCTGTAGTTCTCAGGTCAGTGTCCCAATGGAAGATGTGCAGGTTATCTGAAGAATGCCCAGAAAAGATTTCAGACACATGGCGGTATGTCAGGGACCACCTCCTACAAAGTAGGAGGAGGTATAGGTTGGACAGGTATGGAGACTAGGACACCAGCAATATTGGCTACAAGAGCATAAATTGGGTGCAGGAGAGTATGTGGGGCAGGGTAAGGTTTGACAAGTCATCCCGGACCTCACAGATTTCCTGTTAAGAGCCGGGGCTCTACAATGAAGAGTGTATGTGTAGGTGGGCAATGATGGAGGAGGTGGCCTTAGGATGGATTTGCATGTTGAGAATTCACACGTTGATTTCACAAATCTTTACTTCACACCTTTTAAGACACTAGTCTGAAAAAAAAAAAAAAAAAAAAAAGACACTAGTCTGGGAGGACAGTGGACCTCACAGTCTAGCCGAGTAGACTGAAAGGTGGAGTTGCTGGTGTGGTGGTGCTTGCCTGTAATTTCAGTGCTCTGGGAGGGTGAGGCAGGATAGCTGTGAGTCGGAGGCCAACCTGGACTATATAGTGAGACTATAATGTTATATGTTGTCTCAAAACAACATAACAAGACAAAACAAAAGCAGTTGCAGTAAAGAGTGTGGTATGTTGGGGAGGGTTTCCTACAAGTCATCAGGCAGCAGGAGTGCAGGCCCAGAACAGAGAGAGCCACAGTCAGGACTTTGGGGAGATGAAAGAGCTAAGTGGGGCCTCAGTGTGTGTGGAGATGGGGACTGGAGGAGGTGCTCACCTCACTCAAAGGAGACAGCATGAAATTTTGGGCAAGGGCAGGTGTGAGACTGGGAAAGGGCAAGCCACCCTCAAACAAGAGAATTTAGAACTAAAGTGAATATTGGTACAGTGGGAGCAGGGTGTCTAGAGCTTCTAGAGGAGGTTTCCTGTAGAGGTTTTCTAAATTTGAGGAATTAATGGGACTAATAGGTAGCCTCTACTAGGCGCTTCAAAATAAGGGCCCAGGGGCCCGGGAGATAGAGGTCCTGAGTTCAAGGGCCTAGAATTCCAGCAAATCCTTGGGTCCCTCCTCCACCAAACAGTCCCAGGGGCCTGGGACCTCTCTCCATGCCCCCGGCTCTGGGTTGCCGTCCTCGTGCAGGTTGGAGTCCCCTCCCGTACTAGGGTTCCCGAACGTTCCCAGCCCCTCCCCCCACAATAGAGTCGCGGCGATGGTGGCCCAGGTTCTCCTCCTGGCGCTCTGCGGCTGGGCCCTGGGGCTGGCGGGGGCGCTGGACGCCATGGGCCCTCACGCGGCGCTCCGCCTGGCAGAGCTGCTGACCCCGGAGGAGTGCGGCCATTTCCGGTCGCTGCTGGAGGCGCCGGAGCCCGACGTGGAGGCGGAACTGGCCCGGCTCTCTGAGGATCGGCTGGCGCGGCCCAAGCAGCTAACGCCCAGGTCGAAGCCGCTGGAGCAGGGGCGGCGGCGGCGGCGGCGGGAGGCTGCAGTAGATCCCGCGGAGGACCCGACGGGGGACCATTCGGCCGAGCCCGGAGAGGTTTCTGACGGCTGTCGGGAGGCGCTGGCGTCCTGGCTGGCTGCCGAGGCCACGTCCATGTCCTGGGACCGCTTGGCCCGGGCCCTGAGGCGCAGCGGCCGCCCGGACGTCGCCCGGGAGCTGGGCAAGAACCTGCACCAGCAGGCGGCGCTGCAGCTGCGCAAGTTCGGG